CTGGAAGTCTTCGAGGACCAGGGAGTGTGAATTAAAGAACCCTGGACACCCTGGGAAAGACATTTGGGGTGGCTTTGGTAAAAGAGGAGGCATTGCGGAAGGAAAAAAGGAGAGTAAAACTTTTTTGTCTTCAGTGGGATTGTGCCCTGAAGGCCTTGTTTTTTGGCTCGTTTTTTTTTTTTTTTTTTTTTTTTTTTTTTTTTTTTTTTTTTTTTTTTATTGGTTACACACCTGCCACCTGCCACCAGCAAACTTATTTTAACGTTATGAGAGAGACACACACTGACAGTCTGGCTTCTTTAACACCTGTCTAGACAAACAGCTGTACTGTTCCTGCAACTGGTACAAACTGAGGGTGTACTCCCTCCACATCCACCTCTCACTTCAGAAAAGGGCAGTTTTTTTTTTTTTTTTATCTCTGGGACCTGACCATTAGCTCCTCAGATAGCCCCCACCCCTTCCAAACACCTACCTCCCTCACATACTGACCTCTGTCTCACCCTCACACAGACACACACACAATGTGTACATACACCTAATGCAGCCCTACACTTTTACCTCATAAAGTGTATTACATCATTCACTGTGTGGGTGGGGGTGGTCTTATAAGAAACTGTATGGGCATGTCAGCATCTCTGCTAGTGTTGGAGGAAGTTACAGCGGCAACACTTTGAAAGATGCAGTATCTATCCGCTTGTTAAGTAGTGATGTCACATTATGTTTCCGGGTCCAAACTTTGTTCGTTCTCTTCATATGCCTGCGTGCTGTGTTCCCCAATGTTTCAATAGATCTGAATTTAAAAAAAATCACAGGTCATTTTACTGCTGTCCTTGCGATAGGAAAGAGAAAAGGAAATGGCTACAGCTGATTAGATAAGTCAGAGTATTCTTTAATCAATAAAAACATAACTTCTAAAAGTGTGCTGTTTTGCTGTCTGGTAATGTAATGTTAGCTAGCTAATTAGCACAAATGTAAACACTATACATTGACACATTTTACACTGATGAAAGTAACAGTAAAAGCTGGGAACTATTAAAAACAAGTTAGACATATAGCTCTCTCTCTACATATATATACATACATAGTGAGTCATGGCCAAAAATAATGGCACCCTTGCATTTCTGTCAGGTATGTCTGTCTATTTTGGAGCTTTGTGTAGAGTGTCACATTTGGCTCTTTCCTCTGCGTTTTTGTGTTGCTCCAATGCAAACAAGAGAAATAAGCATAAGAATACCAAAGAATTGGTGACTGCAACAATTTTATGGGAGAAGTGGTGCATTATCTTATAGAAATCCAGAGGTGCCAATATTTTTAGCTGTGACTGCAGCTATATATTGGAATAAATTTACTACGATAATGTTTGGTATCAAGATTGGTTATTATTCCACAGCAACACTGACTACTATATTTGAATCTTAAGAATTGTCTTTTTTTTACTCTCAGTGATGCCTTGCCAAAAAAAAAAAAGATTATGATGTACAGGGTAAGAAGCTCCGTCATTTTGGTCTGGAGGGAGTTTGGACCCTGAAGTGGAATGTTACATCCCACTTAACAAGTAGATAAGGTATTGTTTTATTCACACAATACCTGTGTGACACATTATTGCAGAGGGTGTTAATGTGGTGACAATCAAGCAAGTCACAAGTCAAGTCATACAAAATTCTGATGGTCTAACAATGTTACAGGAATACAGCATATTTAAACGAAACCTTCACAAACCTCCTCTGATTAATAATTGTGCATTTGTACGCCATAAACTAACCCTTAGCTATTAGATAAAAAAGGCATAGACTTAGCATACTTTTCTCTTCTTACTACCATGATCGACAATGTCTTTGAATCCAAATTGTATTATTTTTGAACTAGGCCCGTCAATGATAGCTGCATCCTGCAACCTGCGTTGCCCTCCGCTGGCCTGCCACCTACTGGTAGGTTGCCAGGTTTGTATGTATTGCACTAGAGATCACCAGATTGTGATTCAAAAACAAAACCTAACTAATCAATATCTGGAAAAATACAAATAATCAATTTTAAAAAAGTGAAGTAATCTATCTCAAGTCTAAGTCAAGTCTCAAGCCATGAACACCAAGTCAAAGTCGAGTATTTTACCAGTGTTAGTCAATGTTAGTCAAGCAATGGTAAATGATAATGGTGTGACTAACATTGGTGACTTCAGTCTGACTCGAGTCAGACTGTGACACGAGTGCTCCACCTCTGCATTACAGTGCATTACAGCAGTTGCTGTGTGCATTATTATGTCTTATAAATACAGTCATAAGCATTACAATTGTGTTTATAATAAATTGAGGTTATAAGATGATGTGAACATCATGGTGCTTTTTGTAATCATACTGAATAGGGAGTATAGTTGTCCCTTCTTGTCTTCTTCATGAAATATTGTATTGATATCTAGGAGGGTTTAAAGTTTGTAGCTCCCTCAGAGCTCTTTGGAGTCTTAAGGCATCATTTATTGTCATATTGTTTTCATTCCATTTTTCTACAACTTTACTGTTCACTCTCACTTTCATGGCACAGTTTTATAGCACCAGGCAGCTCTTTTCAGATAAAATGCCATAAGAACTGACTACACAGAAGCCGTCCAGCACCTAGTGTCACAAAAACAGCATTAGCAACTAGCTGGTGAGCACAGTGGGGCATTCGGCATCTAAAGAGGCTGATGTTACCTGTAGGAGTTGGTGGAGACCAAATCAGAGCTATAAAGAGAATGAATATTGGACTTGTATTCTCTAGGTGGAAAAACCAGATGAATGCTAATGTCACTAAATAATAGTTAGGTGTATAAATAGCCTTTGTGTAATTGAAGTGAGATACAAACATTTTCCTCATTCAGTATGTTTACAGAAAGCACTGTTTCATTCCTAACATCTTATACCTGTTCATGCAAAATCGAGGCTTGAATCTATAAAAACACTTGTTCCTGTATTGTTATGAAACATTAAGAGCATTTTCAAAGTAAACTGTAGTGTGGCTTTGAAGAACATATTTCTGCCACCTTTACTGTATAGTACCAGTCATTGTACCTTTTTTTTTTTTTTTTTTTTTGCTAGAATACTACACATGTATATTAGCCACATCCATTCAGTTGTTTTTTGTTGTTCTCTTCCTCATCCTAAGCGACCACTGGGTTGCAACAAACCTCTTGTCTTTGTGTATGTGTATGCATTCATCTTCTCATTGGAGCCATGCCCTGTGAATCTCATCATAGCCCGCCTCTTCACCTCCCTCCTGTCTAGTGATAGGTTCGGTGCTGCCAGATGGTGGTGGAAGGGGATGTTGTCACTTACCTCTGCACGCTGCCCCATCATCGGTACCAAATTCAAGTCCCGCCTGAAATCAACAGACTCTACCTCACCTCTCATCTCAGTGCAGCTGCCCTCTGTCTGCACCACACTTACATGCACAAATGAGCTGAGTCAGCATGGACCCATTCAGTACATAGCAGGTCTTTCAGACAGCTCGAGGGATCAGCACTTGACAGCTGACATGACAGACTTTTTTTTACGTCTGTCCCCTTTTTCATTTGTATCACACATCACGTGGGACCAACAGTCACTCTGGATTCTGTTTTTATTTATGATCCTAAAAGGACAAAGAGGGCAGATGTGAATTTGTGACATTGCAGTGTGCTGATTGTACCTAAGGGACACTGTTGGGGGACAACAACAGCTGGAAGCTGGAACTCTGGGAGTTTTGGCTGGATTAGATCAGGCCAGTGGAATACTGTGGGTGGTGACTCGGATGTAAATAAACAGCAAGTGAGTCAGCAGTATTTGCCAGCGGATAGAGTTTCATCTCAGCCAAGGGGATGAAAATAACAAGCGAGCAACTGTGGCTGGTAGCGACGTGACTCAGGCCAAGCTGATGGCAAACTGCCATACAAAAATAGGCTGTTTTTCTCGCACCTACAGTACATCTTCACATCCTTCCCTCGCTG